AACTCAAAGCTGCCCGACTGGCCCACCCGAAAGCTGATTATGGCTCCTCCACCTCTCCCTGTCCTTCCTGGGATTAGCACTAAGACTCCCCCGGAGACGGGAATCACGGCCTCCCCCTGACCCCCCAACAACGTCTGTCTCTCCTTCCTGCTGGACCCGGAGGCTGACAGGCAGGCTCACAGGCACCCCCACCACACCCTTGCTCGTGCCCAGTTCTAAATGCAGAGAAAATAGAAAATACCCATGAGCCCGGCCGGCGTGGCTCAGCGGTTGAGCGTCAACCTAGCATCCAGGAGACCGGGGTTCGATTCCTGGTCAGGGCACAGGTCCGGGTTGCAGGCTCAGTCCCCAGTCGGGGGCGAGCAGGAGGCAGCCGATCGATGACTCTCATCATTGATGTTTCTCTCTTTCACTCTCTCCTCCTCTCTCTGAAATAAAAAAAAAACATATATGAGAAATGGGGTTGGGGACACGTGCCAGAGGATGGAGGGCTCAGTAAGGACATCCAAGGGTCCAGGAATGGGGGTGAGGGGGGAATAAGGGAGGGGAAGAGAAGGGAGAGGAGAGGAAAGGAGAGGGAAAAACTAACCCCCCTTGGTTCTGCGAGGCCCCCATTGGCAGGGCACCGGCACGGGGTTGGGGTACTAGAGTCTAAAAGATTTACGCCTGAGAATTTCATGCCAGGTCCCAAGTCCAGGGCAAGAGCATCTTTTCTGCACCCTCTCTGGACACCTCACCCCTCCAGGGTTACGTAAGTGGCACCACTCTGAGCCCAGGGCATGATCAGATTAGAAGAGCCCCGGTCTGTCCCTCCCCTATGGCACGGTGCCTGGCACGGGGAGAGCACATATAAGTCCATCCTTGCTGAGTGCTCCCCTGCAGGAGAGGCGCCCCGGCCCCAGGAGCCATGGCCTGTGCCCTTCTCCTCGGGCTCCTTCTATTTACGGTGCTGGCAGCCCCCTCCCAAGGCAACCGCCCCAGCCCCACATCTCGTTTACGTTATTCCAGGTTCCTAGATCCTTCCAATGTCGTTTTCCTGCGCTGGGACTTTGACCTTGAGGCCGAGATGATTACTTTTGAGCTCCAGGTCCGAACAGCTGGCTGGGTGGGCTTGGGGGTCACAAATCGCTACACCGTCGTGGGAAGCGATCTGGTGGTTGGAGGTGTCTTGCCTAATGGCAATGTCTATTTCTCGGTAAGTCGGGGGGTGGCTTTCTTCCACGGATGAGGGTCTCTTGCTGGGGTTCTGGTTGGCTCTGAGTCCAGGAAGGATCCACATTTTCCAAACATAAGCAGGCACGTGCCCCGAACACCAGCTGGCAGAAGTGGTCCATTGGAGGGACTCAGTCCACATCTTCCAGGCTGTATGTCCCTGGGTGCTAAGGAAGGGACCCACTGGACTGAGAGGGTCCTGTCCCACATACCTGCTAATAGCCCACTCAGTGCAGGTCACTGAGGGGGGAGTCACAGCTCTTCATCCTGAGACACAGTCTTCACCTTCCATTTCCTTTAAGCTCCATCAGATAGATCACAGCAGCCAGAGAAGCATCCATAGCTTAAAATTGTTACATGTTTTTTTTATTTTTGTTTTTTAAATATATCTTTATTGATTTCAGAGAGAGGAAAGGAGAGGGAGAGAGAGAGATAGAAACATCAATGATGAGAGAGTCATTGATCGAGCCCGCAACCCGGGCATGTGCCCTGACCGGGAATCGAACCCCGATCGCCTGGATCCTAGGCCGACGCTCAGCCGCTGAGCCCCGCCCGGCCGGGCTACAAGTTTTTGAGTAACTGGGCATTGCTCCAAGTCTCTTGCACGTTAAACCTCACAGCATCACTAGGAGGCGGATGATTATGACCCCAATTTACAGATGAAGAAGCGGCTCACCCGTCTCAGCCTCACCCCTCTGCGCTGCACTGACATAGGGAAGTGCCCGTGTTAAGAGCCGCAGGACAGGATGAGTGGCGTGGGGAGCTCAGAGAGAAAGTGAGCTCCCGAGGGTTAGGGATACAGGAATATTAGGGCTGGTGAAGGTGAGATTTGAAACTGAAGTCAACAAAAGTCAGGTGGTACAATTCCCCTCAGACGCTGGCTGTCCCTCTGCCCCAAGGATCCGCCCTTGGTGCCCTGCTCGGCCCTAAGAACAAAGCACATAATAAAGAAGCCCTGGGTTCTGCTAATCTAGCATCTTAGGGGAGCTAAAGAGACACCGGCTGCTCCTAAGTCATGACCACTTGGGGCTCCTGGGTCTTACTCCTTGACATTCATTGGGCCCCAGGACCAGCACCTGGTGGATGAAGACACCCTGGAGGAGGACGGGAGTCAGGATGCTGAGCTGCTGGGGCTGACAGAAGACGACGTCTATACCACCATGCGCTTCTCCAGGCCCTTCCGCTCCTGTGACCCTCACGACCGAGACATTACGGTAAATTAGGGAGGGGAGGAAAGCATTTGAGCACAAACAGCTTTTTCTTCTGGGGAGATGTCGTCACCCCCATCCTGGGGTGTCCATGCATCTCAGGTAACTGGTCACAGTTCCTAGGACCTCTCTCCACCCCAACTGTGCCCCCTCTTAAAAACCACCAGCCCTCTGCAGGGTGACTTCCCACTAATTCAGCGCCCACCCCACTCTCCCCGCCTTCCCCTCTTGAAGCACCCTGTCCGGTTTCACTGAACGTTATAGAGTGTCGTCTACCAGAGGTGGACACAGGCATAGAGACGGCATTAGAGAGGGGATGTGACTTGCTCAACATTTCCAGCAAGTTGGCCTTGGAGGCAGAACTAGGACCTGACTGGCCCTGAGCCCCTAGTCTGAAGCCCTTCCCATCCCACTGTGTAGATGTGAGCAAGGAGCTTGTGTCGGGTTCTGGGTGTGGGTGCGTGCGAAGTGCTGCTCATGGGCACAGCCCCTCAATGCCTGTGGCTCCCCCAGAGCGACACCATGAGGGTGCTGGCCGCCTACGGCCTGGATGACACCCTGAAGCTGGATCGGGAGCGTACTTTTGTCAAGTCCATCTTCCTGCTACAAATAGTCCACCCAGACGATCTTGACGTCCCTGAGGACACCATCATCCATGACTTGGAGATCACTGACGTAAGACCCCTCTATCCTCACCCCCATACTCCTCTAGCCCCCTTCCCATGGTCCTGCTCAATCTACACCCTCTTCTTGTTCCCAGTGCTCACTATGTTCCTAGAATTGAGGTGTCTGTGATTTCCCTCAGTCCCTAGAGGATGGCCATGCTGGCCTTGAAGTGAACACCCTTCCCCCGCCTGTCCCTTCCCTTGCTTCTCTGGGAGCCTCACTCCCACCCCAGCCCAGCCTCTGTGTGTCTCTCTCCAGTTCCTCATCCCAGAGGATGACACCACATATGCCTGCACCTTCCTCCCTCTCCCCATCGTCAGTAAGAAGCATCACATATACAAGGTACAGTGGCCCAGATGACAGGACACTGTCAAGGAGGTGGAGCAGCTCAGGGGGCACAGCGGACTCAGAGGGGATGGCGTCAGTCAGACAGTTGCTGGGAGGCAGCAGGAGGGAAGAAGCGGGGCTAACGTGGGGCCAGGCCAGGTTTGGTGGACTCGGTGGTTTTGTGAGTTCCTGAGCCCACAGTTATAGCTCCCGGCACTGTTTTATTTGAGCCTCACAACGCAGCCAAGATTTTGACGAAGGCCATGAACTAAGAAGTGCAAAGAACAAAGTATTAGCCCCAGAATTGCGTTCTTAGCCCAGGAGGAGGTGCTGGTTGGGAGGGACATGGCCAAGGGCTAGAGGGAACTCAAACTTGGTCACCTGATTTTATATTTGGGTGATTCCAATTTTGATCAAATAAATAAAAGCATGATCTTATAATAAGTGGGAAATGTGCGGGAGCCATATTTTCTTTAGAGAAAGAATCCAACAAGGAGTGGTTACATGCTCAGATATCACGGACTGGCGAGGTTATTGTTCAGGGAAGGGCTGGAGGCCTGGGATGAGCATGCTGTGCCCTCAGGGAGGGGTTTAAAAGGGTGGCGGGTGAGAGGAGTCAGACAGAGTTGAAGGGGAAATAGCAGGTTGGGGAAGAAAAACAGAAGTGGAAGAGCAGGGAATGGGTGTAGTTTTACTTGGGGGAGGGAAATGGGGGGAATAGGGCTTGACATAGACCATCGTGACTGCGCTCTGCCCTCCCCGCACCAGTTTGAGCCCAAGATGGTCCATCGCAACGAGACGATGGTGCATCACATCCTCGTGTACGCCTGTGGCAATGCCAGTGCCCTGCCCACGGGCATCAGCGACTGCTACGGGGCCGACCCCGCCTTCTCGCTCTGCTCCCAGGTCATCGTGGGCTGGGCTATCGGGGGCACAGTGAGTCCTGTGATGAGAAGATAGGTGGCTCGGGTGCATGCTGTCGGGAGCTGAGGTTGCTGGGCCGATGGGAGGCTGGGACACCGAGGAGGTCTGGGATGGGTCCCTGCACTAGCTCCCCGCCCTCCTTGCTGCCCGGCTCCCTCCATCCAACAGAGCTACCAGTTCCCAGATGACGTGGGCATCTCCATTGGGACGCCCCTGGACCCACAGTGGATCCGACTGGAGGTTCATTACAGCAACTTTCACAACCTTCCTGGTGAGCGCCTAGAGCGCTTGGGGAAGAACTGCTGGGCAGGCTGCCTGATGCCTTTAGGGGCTGGGAGGGTGTCGGGGAGGCATGCAGGCTTTCCCGGGCCTCTTCCTCCCCATGTTGTGACCGTCCCCTGCCTCCTGTGACTGTCCCTTTCCGCACCAGGTGTGCACGACTCCACGGGGATGCGAATGTACTACACCGCACGGGTGCGCAAGTACGACATGGGGGTCCTGCAGCTGGGCTTCTTCACCTTCCCCATCCACTTCATCCCCCCGGGCGCCGAGTCCTTCCTGTCCTACGGGCTGTGCAAGACGGAGAAGTTTGAAGAGGTGAGGCTGGGAGGGGGACCCTCCCTGAGGGTCCCGGTTCCCCATCACGGGCCTGGGCTGCTCCACAGCACACACAGCCTGAGCCCCATGCTGGGACAATGACTACAGCCTGGCGCTCAGGAAAGCCGCTAACCTGAGTTATGGAAGGGATGGCAGGCGTTGGGGGGACGGGGCAGGGATTGGACCCAGGGAGGCCCTGTAAAAACTAACGGGGTTCGGATCAGTTATGAGACAAGGTGTCAGGTATTAAGGGCCGAGAATCTAGGGGCGGGCAGGGCAAGATGCGAGCTCCTAACTGACCACAGGCCCCCCGTCCCTGCCACAGGTGAATGGGGCCCCGGTGCCTGGCATCCAGGTGTATGGCTACCTGCTCCACACCCACCTGGCCGGGCGGGCTCTGCAGGCCGTGCAGTACAGGTAGGGGGGGCCTGGATCCACGGCTTTCCCTTGTGCAGGTGGGAATAAATCTTAGAAACAGGTACTGATTCTGCAGCAGAAGGTTGGGAGTTGAGGAGGAGCCAGAATTATCCCCAGAGCAGAGATGCCTGGAGGAAGACTGTGGAAAGAGGAGCTTTCTTGTTTTATGGACAATCTGTACCCACAGAGAGGCCCCCACGCATGGCTTCTTTATTGGTAGACACCCTTCCCACTTCATCTCTCTCCTTCTCTCTCCTTCTAGAAACGGAACACAACTCCGAACAATCTGTAAAGATGACTCCTACGACTTCAATCTGCAGGAGACGCGAGATTTACCTCATCGCGTGGAGATCAAGCCGGTGGGAGCCTGGGGGAGGCACAGCTGGAGTCGGGGACAGGCAGGCTCATTGCTGTTGGCCAGGAGAGTTCTCAGGCTGGTCTAGTCCCTCTGTGTCTTACTTTTGGCCTTTGTGTTTCACTCTAAATAGGGAGATGAACTGCTGATAGAGTGTCACTACCAGACACTGGACCGAGACTCCTTGACTTTTGTAAGTAGCTCTCTCTGGACCAGAGTCACCATGACAGTAGCCTTGGAATAGAGCCCCATCCTTGGCCTTGGTTATTAAGTGACTCTGATTATTTCAGCTGAATCCCCCGCATTCTGCAATGGTATTGCCCATTCACTTGGGGCTCTTCGTGTTCTCACACCCCAATGATTGCAGGATGAGGACAAGAATTCCCTACTTTCTTTGGCAGTGACCCACTAAGACCAACCATGGAAAGTTAGCCTGTTATCACGACTAAGATCATAGACTCCGGGGCTTCATTGCCTGGGTTTGAATGCCAACACAATCATTAGTACCTCTCTAACCTTAGACAAGTTACTCAAGCTTTTCGTGTCTCAGTTTTCTAATTCATAAAAGAATCAATGATACTATCTATCGCATAAGTGTTGTGAGAGTTGATTAATAGATGTAAGACATCTAGGTCATTGTCCGGCTTGTAGCAGATGCTCAATTAGAGTCAGCTATTGTTATTGTGGTCACAAGGAACCCCACCCATATTGTGTGTCAGGAATGGTTCCACGCTTGTCAGATTCAAAAGGAGTTGCTTGCTAAGGAGGAAGAAAACACAGCCTTTCAAAGGATTCTAATACAAGGTACAAAGTGCTGTGCATCAGTAAAGTAGAATGGAGATAATGCACTAGGGGGATTCACAGGGAAAACCATGAGGTCTTCCTACAGTGAAGAGGACATGTGACATATTTGTGTGGGTCTTTTAGATGTACAATGGGGAATTCTGGAGAAGCTTCCAAGGAAGTGGCCTCTTTTTTATTAAAAAAAAATTAATATCTTGTCTTATCTTCTCAAACCAAGACAATGGCTGTGGAAATATAGAAGATGGGGCAGATATGTGGGATAATTCTTTGGCATCAATAACTGTCCACCAATTGGAAATAGAGGAAGAGGAAGGAAGAGGGGCGATGAGGTGTGGTAAGCAAGGATCAGCAAGCTGGCTGGAGGTTAAGGGGAAAGGAAAACAGCTTCATTGGTAGAATGACCGCCTAAACCAGTTCTGTCTGCCTCGTTCTCTCTGCATGCCTTTTATCTCTGACCCTTCATCTGTCCCCTCTTCTCTAGGGGGGTCCCAGCACCGTTAATGAGATGTGCCTCATCTTCCTCTTCTACTATCCCCGGAACAACATCTCCAGCTGCATGGGGTACCCTGACATCATCTATGTGGCCCATGAGCTGGGGGAGGAGGCATCAGAGTGAGTCATCCTGGACCATAAGACCCTCAAGTGTGACCTCTAGAAGCACGGTTACTTGTGCCCAAATTCTCTGTCTGCCCTTTTCTCCTGCACTACCTCATTCAGTCAGACTGTGTTTACTTGCAGGTAGTGGCCCTTCATTAGTTGGGGGTAAGGGTCCCCTCTGAGATTCCTTTCCAAGAATGCACATCTGTGCAGACACATCCCATTTCACAAACAATTTTAGGGCACTAACAGGTTCCCTGGAGTCACTGCAGCAACATCTTTGGACTTCCTTGCCTCAGATTAAGAATCACTTCTTTACAGAGTACGAACTTTCCCTTTGGCACTCTTAAAAAATTCTCATCTCTGGGTTCTGCTATTTCTCCTGCCATACTCATGATTGTCTCACTGATTTGTAAGACATTCCTTACAGTTTATGTCAACATGTAACTGATGCTCACAAAAGTGAGGGTATTTCAAACATGTTTTGTCAAAGCTTTAAGTCAACCCTGAACTCTTGTCTGCCCCCCACCTTGCCCCCACCTCCTCAGTTCCATGGAGGGCATTATGGCCATGAACAATGTTGAGTGGACCCCAGAGAGCATTAAGAAGGCTGAGAAAGCCTGCAAGGAGGCCCAGCAGACTGTGATCATAAAGACCATTGACGTGAGTGTCCCGGGAGACACCACCCTCTCAGGGTTAAGGATGGAGGGGTATGGGTGGTGTTGGGGGAAGCCAGGAACAGAGAAGAATGAAGGAGGTGAATGACAATGGTAGGAACACTGGGTCAGGGAAAGAGAGGCTGGGGAAGCAGAAAGTTGGGCTGAGGCAGCTCCGGGTTGGGGGTGGGACTGGGGTCTCCCAGTTAGCCTGTGAGGCTGCAAGGGCTGGAGATAAGCAAGTAAGGACTGAAGGAAGGAAAAAAGGTAAAGAGGCTTCCACCTTCCCCCATTTTATTCCCTCTCCTGTAGGAGATAGTGGAAAACACAACAGGCTGGATTCCGGAAATCAACCCTACGCCTCGGCAGCCCTGCTTGGAGTCATGGGGAGGCAAAGTGGAGCCCCAGGACCAGACCCCTGCAGGCTTCAGGGCCGCACCAATGGCTCTCTCAGCCTCAGGCACTGCTACCCCAAGGTGCTTCTCCCTGGCTGCTTTCTTGCTTGGGCAGGGGGCCATCTGTTGGCTCCTTGCCACCCTGCAGGCTGGAATCTGACATCATCTCCTCACATCAGATACCCAAGCCCCTCTCTGCTCAGTCCCCTGGTCATCAAATGCAGATACTCCCCTCTGCTTTGGGTCCCAGAAAGTCCCCCATCTGTGTCCCTTCCCATGGCCCAGGCCTGGGCTCTGCAATACTCCATAAAGGCTCTTCCATGACCAGCTATGCAATTCATCCTTGAAAGCTTCAGAATCACCAGTGGGACCACAGGTTTTCTGACAAAATCTGGATCCAAGGTTGGGTGTAAGATAGTGGATCACTGAGAAGTCTGATGGTCCAGCTCACTCAAGGGGATGCCGCGTAGGGAGGAGGGGGCTTGAATGCAGACGGAGAGCCCTGGGAATCCTCCTCCCCCCATGCAGGCCCCGGAGGGGGTTCCTGTTTCTTCTGAGATTTTTGTTCAACCCTCCCCATGGGGCAGAGGCAGAAAGCCACATGTGTGATATATGATAGAGAGGCTGTGTTTATAAGGGACAAAGCTTAAAGCATCAGATTAAATAGAACTAAACCTGCTTCCTAGTAACATCTCTTTCCTTTGAGCCTTGGTCCAGAAGAGGCAGCTGGGAGGTCTCTTGAATTGCTCAGTAAAAGGCATCCAGAGGGCATTAGAGGACCTGGTTGCCCCAAATGCCACATATAATGCGATCCTTGCTCTCCTCACAGTGCTTCTACTGCTGGATAATCTTTATTTATCCCATCAAATGTCACATTCTCAACACTCAAATCACCAGGTGTGAAGAGTCTTAGCTGGCCAAGACTGGGCACGGAGAAAAGGTCAAGGGCAAGGTGGAGAGAGGTAGTCCTTTGCTCTGGAGCCCAGGACATGTCGAGGAGGTTCATAGGGACAGAGCCTGCAGTTTGCAACCACAGTTGACAGGCCTGTGGTGGTGGCTGCTCTGAGAGCTTCCTGGGACATTCTGTCTTCTAAGTTTGAGAAGCTCTATGCCGCCCTGTGTTCTAGCTTCAACGCTGCTGCGCTACTCTGTGAATTCCTTGCTCACTGTTCATGTCCTCTGGAAGGGACCCCTACTCTGGCTATGCCGAGGTGTTGAGAGGGGTCTTAATTCCTTGGAGACCGCTGCTTGAGGTGCGGAGCCTTGGTCTAGCATCACAGCCCTGCTTCCTGGCAGAGTAATAGACCTCCTCTGGGACTGGTGAGGTTCACGGAAGGTAGCAAGCCCATGACCTTCCCTGTCATTTATTCTGGAGAATTCTGGATGCTCTCATCTGAGATTCTGCAAAATCTTCAGTGTTCACTTTTAGCTCCTTCCATGCCAGCTGGACAGTTGCAATACTTGGGGTCACTTTGGGGTCTCAAATCTGCCGTTCCCCATCCCCTACACTAGCAGGATTGAAAGCAAAAAAACCATCTCCTCCTTGGCTGGAGGGGGATGAGCTGTTTTAATGGCCTTGTGAGAGCGGTTGGTACAGAAGCCGAAACAAGCATTAGTCAATTTATCTTGGGCACCATCTTAAGTTTTCGTTCCCGGAACCGGGGGCAATTGAAAAACATTCCCTTGTGTAAAGGTCAGAGCTGAATCCCAGAGTTTCAGTTGATTTCTTTACCTGAGCTTGTGAGTCCAGGTGGGGCCTTGGGCCATAAGCCCAGATTACTATGAGCTCAGATCAGTATAATGTATTTCTTAGAGCTTCGAATCACTAGATTTTTATAGACAATTATTTAAATAGCAATTTTACTTAAACAGATACATTGCTAGAAGTCAACAGCCCCCACCCCCCTTTTTTTTAAACGAGGGGCCATGAGAGGGATGTTTGAGAAACAGGAAGCTTTAACCAAGATGATTAGTAGGAAAATAGTAGCCACCATGGAAAAGATGGGAGGCTAAGCAGACAGAAGGCTTAAGATGAAAAATCTAAGCTATGAGTAGACTTCTGAGAAGCTCCTTATCAGAAAAAAGGTTTTTAAGATTAATATTGCCCAACGATTCAACAGGCAAACTTCTGGGGAAGCATGTGGGTATTGGTGAGGATTAGAAAGACATGGTTTCAAGGAAACTTTTTCATGAGTTGGAAATTTTAAGCTACATAAGCTTAAAGTCTGTTGCAATTCTGGTGCACTCTTACCCGGGCGTATATTGGAAAGCAAGCTTGTGCTGCGTCCATAACACAGTCTGTCATCTACATTACCAACGTTGTCTCTGATTAATCATCTATTTAAATAATTCAACACAAGACTGAATTTTCCCCCAGCTGGAATCAGAAATATAAATCTTCATGAAGGTCATAGGAATTGTTATGACCATAAGTTATATCTTGCCAGGAAGAATACTATAACCTNCTGTTATGATCATAAGTTATATCTTGCCAGGAAGAATACTATAACCTCCAGTCTAATTTGAAATTAGCATGCCTTGATTTCCTCTTGTAATTATTATATGATACAACTTCTAGCCTCGGGTAGTTTCCCGAAGATCTTTAGGCATCTTGTGCTCCAATGAGCAATCTTGCCTGGACTGAGGTCAACTTCTCTGAGGTTTTCTCATCATAGACTGTCATCAAAAAACCTCCAGCCACAAAACACCCACTTCTTGCTCCTCCCAGCACAGTACCAAGTCATCGCACCTCACGTCCCCTTCACCATGATGTGATTGTAACGTGTGTGTGCGTATTTCAATATTCATACCCTGTTTAGACAAAATCAAAGTGAACAGAAGCATAACCATAGGCAGATAAACTGAGGAACAGCTCTCATCCCGTGCACGCCTCAGAGCAGAGTCTGGACACAAGTCACCTTTGGGGGACACCATGAAACTCTATGTCTCACTCTAGGGTGGGGCTAAGCCAAGGCCTCACTGAGCAATGATGCTCACATTCACTCAGCAAGTCGCCATCAGATAATAGTGCTCCTCGAAGAAAGTGATGAAACGCTGATAAGTTTAATTTCATCACACACACCAAAGAAAATTTCACTGGCAGAAAATATGATATTTCAAATATAAAATAATGTATTCTCATGCATGCACGCGCACACACACACGCGTGCACGCAAACACACACAAAGTCCATATGAACTCTGTCGGCTATTTCAAAGTTTTTCTTCTCTGTTATGTGTTTTTTATACATTTTGTTCTTGGCCAGAGCTCTCTAGAAGGCAACATGTGACTAGCAGCGAGTATAAAAAGCTTCACAAATAACATAAAATCCCACTAACTTAATTGTTATGTAAAGTGAGGAAAGACGGGCACTGTTTAATTTAGCGGTGAAACATTTTGTTTCAGCTCAAAACAGAGCCAGAAACCCTTTCCCCAGAAGCACAGTTTGAGACATGCTACTGGAGGACAGGCTTTCTTTCCAAAACTTCAGTTAGAAAAGCAGGGACTCAGAGCAGCCTTCCAATAAAGGACCAGCACCGGGGACATCTGCCCTGCTGTCAGGAGGGCCGCGGGGAAGGAGGGAAAGGTTCCGATAGACATGCGGACACTCGGGGGACCGCGTGAGAGTCATGACCAACCTCGCGCCGACGGCGGGTGCACGTCTATGAACACTGCAGCCCCCGTTTCCTCCATCCCCAGGCGAGCAAACTGAGGCAGGGAAGGAAAGCGAAGGAGTGTCCAGCTGAAGCGACAGTTCCGGCGCCAGGCCGGCAGCGGGCGAGGCTCCGAGAACCGGGCCCCGGCGTGAGCTGCGAGGGCCGGCCGGCCGCCCAGGNAGATGGGAGGCTAAGCAGACAGAAGGCTTAAGATGAAAAATCTAAGCTATGAGTAGACTTCTGAGAAGCTCCTTATCAGAAAAAAGGTTTTTAAGATTAATATTGCCCAACGATTCAACAGGCAAACTTCTGGGGAAGCATGTGGGTACTGGTGAGGGTTAGAAAGACACGGTTTCAAGGAAACTTTTTCATGAGTTGGAAATTTTAAGCTACATAAGCTTAAAGTCTGTTGCAATTCTGGTGCACTCTTACCCGGGCGTATATTGGAAAGCAAGCTTGTGCTGCGTCCATAACACAGTCTGTCATCTACATTACCAACGTTGTCTCTGATTAATCATCTATTTAAATAATTCAACACAAGACTGAATTTTCCCCCAGCTGGAATCAGAAATATAAATCTTCATGAAGGTCATAGGAATTGTTATGACCATAAGTTATATCTTGCCAGGAAGAATACTATAACCTCCAGTCTCATTTGAAATTAGAATGCCTTGATTTCCTCTTGTAATTATATGATACAACTTCTAGCCTCGGGTAGTTTCCCAAAGATCTTTAGGCATCTTGTGCTCCAATGAGCAATCTTGCCTGGGCTGAGGCCAACTTCTCTGAGGTTTTCTCATCATAGACTGTCATCAAAAAACCTCCAGCCACAAAACACCCGCTTCTTGCTCCTCCCAGCACAGTACCAAGTCATCGCACCTCACACCCCCTTCACCATGATGTGACTGTAACGTGTGTGTGCGTATTTCAATATTCATACCCTGTTTAGACAAAATCAAAGTGAACAGAAGCATAACCATAGGCAGATAAACTGAGGAACAGCTCTCATCCCGTGCACGCCTCAGAGCAGAGTCTGGACACAAGTCACCTTTGGGGGACACCATGAAACTCTATGTCTCACTCTAGGGTGGGGCTAAGCCAAGGCCTCACTGAGCAATGATGCTCGCATTCATTCAGCAAGTCGCCATCAGATAATAGTGCTCCTCGAAGAAAGTGATGAAACGCTGATAAGTTTAATTTCATCACACACACCAAAGAAAATTTCACTGGCAGAAAATATGATATTTCAAATATAAAATAATGTATTCTCATGCATGCACGCGCACACACACACGCGTGCACGCAAACACACACAAAGTCCATATGAACTCTGTCGGCTATTTCAAAGTTTTTCTTCTCTGTTATGTGTTTTTTATACATTTTGTTCTTGGCCAGAGCTCTCTAGAAGGCAACATGTGACTAGCAGCGAGTATAAAAAGCTTCACAAATAACATAAAATCCCACTAACTTAATTGTTATGTAAAGTGAGGAAAGACGGGCACTGTTTAATTTAGCGGTGAAACATTTTGTTTCAGCTCAAAACAGAGCCAGAAACCCTTTCCCCAGAAGCACAGTTTGAGACATGCTACTGGAGGACAGGCTTTCTTTCCAAAACTTCAGTTAGAAAAGCAGGGACTCAGAGCAGCCTTCCAATAAAGGACCAGCACCGGGGACATCTGCCCTGCTGTCAGGAGGGCCGCGGGGAAGGAGGGAAAGGTTCCGATAGACATGCGGACACTCGGGGGACCGCGTGAGAGTCATGACCAACCTCGCGCCGACGGCGGGTGCACGTCTATGAACACTGCAGCCCCCGTTTCCTCCATCCCCAGGCGAGCAAACTGAGGCAGGGAAGGAAAGCGAAGGAGTGTCCAGCTGAAGCGACAGTTCCGGCGCCAGGCCGGCAGCGGGCGAGGCTCCGAGAACCGGGCCCCGGCGTGAGCTGCGAGGGCCGGCCGGCCGCCCAGG